TTGCTCGTGCGCCCACGCTCCACACTTGACTGTCCGCTCCGTCTGGCCAGTTCACCGTCTTACTCGGGCACGCCAGTCTTCATCCACCTTCCCGAGGCATTTCAACCTAGATGATATCTGAAGCGCGTTTTCATTAGCTTTCCTCTGGGCCGTGGCAACACGCTCGAGGGGTTTGTCCCAAGCTTGCGCGCGTTAAAAATCAGCTTTCTCGCCCACTTGTCAAGGACTCTATTCGCTATTAACCAAAAGGACAACCTTGTGTGGACCCCGGTTTAATGTTACATCGAATTTTGAAGATCTAGACCATCATAACGGTATGAGCTCTGTAGTAACGCGAAGGATAATTCCTGTCGTATGCAAGCCTTTTAACACAGGTATACCGTACCTGATATGTCAGTGTTCAACGGATCTTTAGTGCTTGTCTACATCTATTTCATCCCGCTTGACGCCCATCTGTTCACTGATTTGCGTGCCGACGCCATCTTTACCGGTTTATGTCCCATTGTAGCCTCCAGAAACAGTCCGCAAGGTACAAGCATATCCATCTTACGTATGTACATCCGATCTATTAGGGATTGACATCTGCAGGCTTATAGTGTTTCTATCGTACCTCGCATAACATGGTGCAGAAACAATAAATGCGACAAATGGGCCTGGTGGATTTTGTGCCAATTGAAATCGATCGAAATACAGAGCGACTCAATTGCCTCTAATCATCGGGAAATATACAATCTGTTTATTCGTGTAACATGCAGTGATGGAACGCTCGTCACCCTGGGGAAGGAGAAATGCTAAAGTGTTAACCAGTGGTTTAACAACGCCGGATACCAGTCAAAGTGGCGATTTCATCTGGCAACTATTGTGCTCAACTTCCAAGGTGTGGGCTGGCAGTGTGCGAAAACAACCGATTACACTCTTAGTATTTTCAGGTCTCGTGCCCATCCCAGTTAGCTAACACTGGAGCTGATATGTGAACATGATTACGTATGGTGTTTCGCAGTGTCGCTATCGCCTTCAACAGCAGGAATGAAAATACCTGAGAGATTAGCCTTATTTCCATTGCCTATACATATCACACAGGTATTATTCTACGACGACTTACTGGTCCTCGTGAGAGCCGAACGACTGAAGGCCAGGTTAGCTTCCGCCCTGGTTGTGGTTGCATCGACCACATATTTATCCTTCCTCAAGTTAGGGTAGAGACACACTCAAAGAGCTACTCTGGTGGTTTTCCTTAAGCTGAAACCCACCTTCGATTATGGCGATAGAGACATCTTTTGGTACTGCCCATCAGAGAAGCGAGTGCTTGGAAAGACTGTTCTCAAGTCTCTCCCGTGAAACCTGAGGCGGTGTAAAGGCCTACGGGAAACTGTCTTTAGACTTCCTCACAAGTAGGGTTCAGCAAGGTTGTCCTTGCTCATCGACTTTGTGATCGAAATGAACATAAGTGACGCCGTTCTTTCAGAATTCTCCGGAGCAGAAGATTTGACAGGTGACCGACTGAAAAACTTTGAGTACACGGACGACAAACCGTTCATTGGGTTCGAACCAGTGGGTATACAAGCACAAATGAACAGACTGACGCGAAGCGCTGCAGGATTCGGCATGTCTTTTCTAACTTCAAAGAAAAATGTATTGTTACAGGATTGGGGCGATACCCCCGGTTCTAGGCACCAGCTAAGTCTCTGGAAGTAATGGATCGACTCATTCACCTCGGTAACACTGTCACCTCTGGCGGTCACATCACTGAAGGCGTTACCTTGCCGGTCAACCGCTGCATCCCACACTTTCCGTGAAGGATCTCGGCGTACTGTCACGCTGCTAGTTGAAGTCCGTAAACAAATCGAACAATCCATATTGAAACAAACTGGGCGTGCTTCGGGTGCTCAAACGCAGCTTCTGCATTTAGTCTAAGGCTGCCACGTGCCTCTTCTCTTCTATCATATGACTGATGCTCGAGTACGAATCACCTGTAGCGAGGTGCAAAGACTGGAACGTGTTCAACAGGCTCATCTTCAGTTTACGAGGTATGGTCTACGAAAACCGATGCAGACGACTAGGGCTGTACACTCTGTCGTATTGACCGTTTATAGTTGATATCATTATGGTGCAATCGACACTGCACCTGGGTCACTTCCACAAGCTGAAGCCACTGCTTCACGTGCATGCACCAAACAGCACTCGCAAATACGGGTTCAGACCAGTGGTACCGGACCTAAAGCGGATGGCTAACCCTCTATACTTCGAGTGGCGAGTGGTGAAATATTAGAACAGCTTGCCTGAGAAAATAGTCGAGGTGAGATTGGTGACGGAATTGAAGCAATTCTTGGACACCCAATCTGTGGATTCCAGATACAGAGAGCGCATCGTACCCGAACAGCATATGGCGCAGCCGTAATATGCGGCAGACACTCAGGAATCCGTGACGTGACTCTGCGCACGTGTCCGAACTAAGTACGATCGAACAGCATAGAGGTGTCTTCTAACTCTCTACTTTCCGTATCGGCAAGACCCGTATGAATTTCCCGTAGTTCAGTCATCTTTGGAGACGGCAGGATATCAGGTTGTCAATGAAAGGTAGGGTGTAGGACGATACTTTAAGGTCGGTGTTATTGTATAGATCAGACACCTGATCAGTTCGCAGTGAGGACGTTAAACACTTGGCAGTGTTGACCACCGGTACTTGCGCAGTATTGCGCACATCGGTTGGAAACACCGGAAAGGTATTGCTGCGGTCCATCAGTAGGCTTCCGGCAAGAAGCCTTCTGGTGCCTCACTCGAGTGTTTGCTGCATTTTAAACACTTACGTTGGCTAGGTAATGTCCCGCGTACACCTGTTGACCGGCTTCCTCGGCATGCACTACACGCCAAGGTTGCACCAACCTGGGTGAAACTGCAAGGTGACCAATGGATGACGTCGCATAAAAAGGAAGAGATTGACTGTGGACTTGGTCAGGCTGGTGTGTGCCGTCTCCGTGGACTGGGGCATCGGTATGGAGACTAGTAGACAGACTGTCGTACAGAAGGGAGGAGGCCATTGAGAGACACCTGGGCGTTTGCGAACACATGTTGCAACTTGTCGATGCTACGAACAAATATATAAACATCATTGCAACTTCGATCTTCATTGAACATCAACGGTTAGGCAAGCAATTCATCCCACATAAAGCAGCAAAATATGTCTATGTGAATCCTGCATCAAACGTGGATTTCGAACAAGATAAAGTTGCCCTAGTGAACCGTTGTGAAACCTGACCCATTAGGTCAGCCAACATAAAGAGGCTAGTTACGTTAAACCACCGGCGCCTTCGAAGTTTGGTGGATGTCTGGTGGGAACACCGTGTGAACAATATTCGACGCTTTGTTTGTGACGTAGGAAGAAGAAGCGAACCGCTCAGCACCGTTATTTCAAACACCATGCTCCGATGGCTGGGCCACATTTCGCGCATACCAGCCCAGCGACCCCAGCGACGTGCGTTGTTTGCGCACCGGGGGGTGATGATGGAAGAAGAGAAGGGGTGGCCAAGCGATGACCTGGTCAAAAAGAACGAAGATTCTTACTTTGGAGTTGGCCTCGGTTGGAGCCACTGGGCACACTGGTTGGGGACCTAAGCAGGAGGAACACGTTTGGCTGGATACACTTGTTGACATGGCTAGGAGCTGACCTCAATGGCGTTCGTGTTGTGAGTTTCTTTGTCCCTCCCCCTCCCGCTTAGCCTCCTCCTCCAATTAGAAGCTCGTTTATTAGGCATAATATACCTCATATTTTGGGGCACAACAGTAAGCTGTTAGTCCTACGGAACGATGTCTATCCGTTATCGGTGACTCAGCCGGTGTGCCACTGTTTCATGTTTTTTCTTTCCTTTTGTATTGCGGCACAATAGCTGAGGTGTTTTCCACCTGCAGCTAACGTGTACAATGATGATGATAAGAGTTGCCCCTGTCAGAAATAGGTCTTAAAGAAAGAGGCTCCGGTTCGCAGGTAGCGGTGCAAATACTTCCTACGTTGTGAGACACTAGTAACCAGATACGGTGAGTCAACGTGGCTTCTGCTCCGTTGTAATCCATGCTGAAATGAAGAAACCGAGTCTTAAAAAAAAGACGTGTCTACCACAGCTGATAACCGACGGTAAGCTAGCTTAACGAACGAGTGTAAATGGAAAAGATAACTAGCAAATAAACGTAAAAAAACTGGTGAATGCGCTGGCAATTCCACAAGGTAAGTAGGACAGAAGAAGCCCTGTGCAACATCCGCTCGTCACCTCTATCAGAAGATTAAGGCTCTTCGAAAGTGGACAACAACGCAGCATAATCGATTCGTATCCATGACGGCACCCGAAAGGTTCAGCCACGGCCAATGAGACAACACATGGAGGATGCAAATGCAATGCATCATACCGTCAAAAGTATAATAGTAGAAAAGTGCAGATCGTCATGACTAGAGGGCACACGCAACTCAGCCGCTCGCAAGGATACCGATAGGGTTTGCTTGGGTCCAAACAGTGGACCCATTTAGTATTAAAAATGTGCCACCTGAAGCAGCTCAATAAGTCAAAAAGGTACACCAAAAACGTGATACCCGTAAAGGATCATTCAATGTTTGACATTAAACTTTCCCTGCAAATGTCATGAAATGCAAAGTGAAAGTATGGAGTCCGACGACTACAGATAGTGAGAGGCAAATAAAAGAGTGAAGAGATCACACATGAAGAGGTTTCCCGGAAGTGGCAATTTCACCGTCAGGTTACACCAGCCCAGCAACGGGAGAAGTGTGTCGAAACTTGGAATTCGATTAGGTGCCCTCTTTGAAAGTGTCAACATTTAAATTGAATTTGAACACTGGAAAGTGTCGGCTGCGCAATGTGAGAAGATGCTGAGGTTGAATTGAAATTCTTCAACGAATGCTTAGTCATGCCGGTAACCAAAACACTTTTGGAGAGATATATCCGAATGTGCGCAAATTAAGGCGGCACACACAAGTATATGGATAACATTCACACGAAATTATCGGAGCTGGAAAGATTCATCTCACAACGAATGCATGCCGTCATGGGCTTAGCGGAAGAGTTACGAAGACCTTTTGAAGCACACGTAGAACAGGTTAAAAAGCAAAGGGGTGCACAGAAAAGAAAGAAGTTGCTTAGCTCACTAAATAGCCAAGTGCTGCGACTGAACTTTTCGAGTAACCCGGAGCGGTACGTGTTTAACCTTTCTAGTATCGTACTTAGCCCAACACAACTAAACGTTTTATCATTAGGCCCTAAGTTTTGCATTCCTTGTAAAAAAAAAAGTTGGTCAGGCTGCATTAGAGGTGCAATCTGAGAGCTTAATAGCCTTGGCGCGCAACTTGTCATCAAATTCGCCATGGGACGTTGAGAACATGTTACGCAGCTTAGTAAACACCTGTCATAATTACATTAAGACTAGACCAGCCGGTAGTGGCATTTTTATAAGCGAACATATGGTTATGGTTTAACAAATAGTTAATTATCTCTGAGCCGGATAAAGGTTCTGGTATAGTTCTAATGAATAGAACTGATTATGTTAGTAAGATGCAACATATTGTGATGAACGTAAGTTTCAAAAGCTAACGGTAGAAAAGGATAATACAGAGGAGTTAGAAAAACAACTGACTGATTTGCCCCGACGAATGACGAAAGCGAATGTTATCACAAAGTGCGAATTCGAAAAGCTGAGATCTTCAGGTGGATATCTACCACAGTTGTACGGCCTCCCTGAAGTTCACAACGTGGGCGCTCCAATGCGTCCCATACTGGATATGGTTAGCTATCCGCAACCTTTGATAGTTCAATGGATGGTTGAGAACCTGGAACCGCTGCGTAAAATCGTCTACACTTACTGCGTGAAAGACACTTGCGAGTTCATTGAGAAGATAAGGGACGTGAATCTTAACAACAAATGGTTGTCATCATTTGATGCGCAGTCGTTGTTTACGAATATTCCGTTATTGGAAACAGCAGAATACGTTTGCGAACTAGTACGGCAACTGAATGTATCTATAAATATCCCGGAAAACCTGAAAGAATTGTTACTCGGATGCACGTTAAACGTGCAGTTCACCTTCAACGGGGAGATGTACCGTCAAATTGATGGAGTTGCCATGGTCTCACCATTGGGACCCTTTCTAGCACATGTCTTTATGGAAAAATTGGAGCATAACGTATTAAGAACGCACATCAGCGAAGTCGAGATGTATATACGTTATGTAGACGACACATCGAATCGCAATCGAAAGTGCAAACTGTGAAACTGTTGGAAGCTTTTAATGATGTGCATCAGAATCTACAATTCACATGTGAGCATGAATTCAGAAGCCGACTACCGTTCCTGGATGTTGATATCATCAGAAACGCCGATGGATTGTGCAGCAGAGCGATGTATAGAAAACCAACTTGGACTAGACAGTACATCAACTTCTATAGTGCGGTACCCATACAGTACAAACGAAATCTAGTCCGCACTCTTGCGTTCCGGGCACATGGAATTTGCACACCGGACACAATCAACAAAGAATTGCAAAGGATCGGCGACGCGCTAAGAGCGAATGGGTATCCAGATAAATTCATTCACAAACATTTGAAAGAACGCAAGATAAAATCATCGAGGATGAACGTACGCAAGAAAGAACTAATGGTGTATATTCCTTTCAATGGTCACAGTGCGGCTGATGCCTTGTCCATACGCCTGAAAGACGCTGTTGAGAAGAGCTATTTCGCGGCTCGCCTACGCATAGTATTTTATAACAAGCCTTTATTCGCAAAACCTTTGAAACACCGGCTGCCTCCGGTGACTCGATCAATGCTTAGTTATCTTTACTCGTACCCCTGTGAACAGGATACGTGGGTCGTACCACGAGGCGTCTATCTCATAGGATTCGCGAACACATCCCAAAGTGGTTTTACAGAGGCGAAGCGAGGTTCAGTAACAGTTCAATCTTGTTTAAACTTCTAGAGTGCAGTCACGCAGGGAAAGAAAATGAATTTAGAGTCATCCATACTATTCCTGAACGTATCTCGCGCGGATTCCGGAAGCATCTCCTGTCTATTGCGGAAGCTACCTACATCTGCCACCTCAAGCCAGAATTGTGCGTACTGTAGCACGCAAAAAGATAACTCTTATCTTTCATGTACAATTTACTTGTTGACCGATTGTACATTATTCATTCTTGTTTTAATCGTCCTTACAACCGGCTCGTCTCTCGACCACCTTGTAAGTTCCCGCGCTCACGTGTTCGCTCTCGCCTCGCTTCATCCGTCCGCTTCTTATTGTAACCCATCGAATACAATCCGCTGTGTCCGACTCCGATTGCCTTCTGATATCCGCGCTTAATTTCGCGCACCGTCTCGGACTAGTATTAACTAGTCCTACAAATTGGTGACCCCGATTCGCACGCGCGAATTCAACTTTTTTTCTCGTTTATATTTTTTGGTGAGATCGTTCCTTTTTCTCGATTATATACTGTATTCATTTGTTTCTGGTGTAGTTTTGATACTTTGATCGTGTTTTGGTTCGAAATTAGAACATGGCCCACTCAGGACGCACATCTGTGGAACAGAAATGTACGTACGGTATGTCAATGACACCTTCTTGCTTCACCTGTGAGCACGAAAATGGAAACCATTTACCTTTCTTGGATGTAGAAGTCGTCCGCAACTCGGACGGCTCATGTAGCAGAAAGGTACACAGAAAGCATACGTGGACTGGTGAGTACACTAACTTTCACAGCACAAGAGGAGTTTAATCCGATTGTTTGCCTTCAGGGCGCGCAGTATTTGCACCCCGGATACCGTTAACGAAGAGCTACAGAGAATCAGCGACGCCCTTCGTGAAAATGGTTACCCCTTGTCAGCGTGTGCGTGCTAATCATGCAATCCTGTGCTCTGCGCTAAATTGGACCTATCCCTTCACATTCTTGTGCCACGTCTTCGGAAGTACGCTCAATCGATTCGGATCACCGAGCTCTATCCAACGGCGTCTATATATTTGAAGTAAGTCCAACGACATGCTGGTACATCACAAACAAATTCTTCGGAAGTCTATTCACTAAGGCCAACTTGAGTAACTTTGCTTATTTGAGTTTCATCAGTATCTTTGGGATACCATTCGACAGATCTTCTTTAAGGCTGTCAGACAATATATAACTTAGTACTGTGCACCAGGGTATACCATAGGTAGAAGCATTTTTGTCATCTCACCTTACCACCATATTTTTACGTGCATTTCACTGCACAAAGCCTGTGTGATTTTGCATACCCGTGCGCCTAGTGACGCACCACCACCAAACCCGCTGACCGGAGCAGACAACAGGCAGCCCAAACGACGTGATCAGCGCAATCTAAAAGTGCATACCGACCAGTGATCCATGGGCCGGAGAAGTTTGTCAACCGGGAATCCAGTGAGCAACAAATCTAAGGTCAACCGTAGCTCAGACAAGCGGGGAACTGAAATAAGCTCGAAAATCAAGTGTTCGTTCTGTGCCAATTCATATGACGCGACAAATGTGAACATTACACGTAACGGAGCTAACAGCGTATCGACAAGTAGCTTGTGGTTTTGTGACATATGTTCAGATAGTCCGATAATTAAGACTGTTCAAAAACTTACGATAAGGTGTGAAGCATTGGCTGTTACGTCTGCAGACCAAAAGGAACTGATCGAGGCATTGGGAAGGAAAATCTCAGAACTCGAGTTGCAGATTAGTGCATTACGTAGCCCGAATCCCCGACCTGTTAAAAGGCAAAAGCTCTCTAGCAACAGTGCTACCCAGTTCAGCGAAAGGCAAACACCGTCGGTGGAAAACAGCAGTGAAAATAGGCCGCTTGAACGGTACCCCAAGTCTCACGTAATGCGCCAAAGCGTGCAGAGTTACGCACAAATTGCACGATCACCTCCGTCAGTAGCTGGGCAACAACAATTGACTCCTACAGATAGTGCAACTAACGGCGTTGCAGGTAAAAAATAATCTGGCTGTAGCCTTGGCCAATCGTCCAAGGAAGACAATCCAGACACTCCCACCAGACAAACCTACGCTCACAAGGAACTGCAGAACAAACAATCACTACGCAAGCAAAAGGCGATGACAGTAATATGTTCAAACGTCCCAGAACCCACTAGCGAATCGCCAAAAGGTAGACAAGCCGAGGAGCAAAACCGGTGGGCTGAAATAACCTGCGCACTCGGACTGAAAGTTCTCCCAACTGGTCTTACACGCCTTTCACGAAACCCATCATCTCCGCACTTAGGGGAACCTCGGTTACTGCGAGTAACGTTTGGCAACATGCGCGACCTGGAAGATGTTCTCTTAGCAAGCCACATGCTAGTGAACTCTTCTATCAGTGCCCGCATTTTTCCTGACAGGCCATGGGCAGAAAGACAAAAGCGTAAATCCAAACCTAGTTCGTCACGTCAAAATGAGATGAAGTGGTACTGGTTCATGGTGTGACAGAATTGAAGCATGACGATAGCAGCGAACGACAGAAGCACGAAATCGAAGAATGGCGGTACATCGCAGAACTATACGACATGAAGAATGTCGTGGCTTTTGACGTCACCCGTTTAATTGCTTCCACAAACTACCAAGGTAGCGGGCCACGAATTTTGAAAGTTACCTTGGCTGCGCCCGAAATGGTATCAGTGGCATTCCAAGCATGGCATGACAAAAGGAAACTTGGGCCACCAGAAGTACGGTTAAGACCATTCCTTCAATTAATATAGACCTCAGATATAAATGAGCCAGCCTCAATTGTACCTATCTCAAACCAGCCAACTGTGCAAACAACCGTTTCAAAATACTTCAGCAGACCGGCACTATTTGTGCCGGTCACTCACAGCGAACCGAGCTCCTGATGCGTCAACAAATACAATGCTGCTACACCAATACTCAGGGGTTGTACTCTAAGCTCTCCGAGCTGCGCCACCGACATGAAACAACAACTTGGGACCTCATAGCAGTTGCTGAAACTTGGCTCTCAAACGACATACTTGATCCAGAGATTGAACTCAGTGAGATGTCAGTCATTCGAAATGATCGTCCATCTCGCGGTGGCGGTGTTGCTCTCTACTATCGAGATTATTTGAAATGAGGCTCTTACCGAAAATTCCCTTGTTATTCCCGACGTACTATATTGTCGACTGCACCTAGCAGGTCGAGATGTTGGTTCACAGAAGAAGAGTGATGCTTGCCTCTTACCAGTTATTTATAGACCTTCGAACTCATCAGTAGACAGCGATAACATTCTGTTAAATGCCCTCCGCCATGCTGTTTCACAAAAGTACTCTCACTATCTTATAATGGGTGACTTTAATGTTCCTTCAATAGCATCAATGTCCCCTAATGGGCCATCAT